TACCATCCTCCAAAACACAGTGTACACGCTAAATCTGTTGTTTATGCTGTGCTCTTCAGAGGTAGAATACACCGGTCTGGGGGCTTGGAGGTGAAAGTAGGAGTGGCCCAGCTTACCATCAATTCCAGTGATCCACTTTTGGAATGTGTGCTTCCTGTTCACTCAGGGTTCTGCAAGGTTAGAGGTCCTGGTTTTCCAAGGGGGAACACTGCTACCAGGGGACACAGCAAGAATCCCATTACCTTCTAAGCCTTGACTGCTACCTGGACACTTCAGGCTTCTCATGCCAACGGAACGGAACACGAGTCACTGTCTTGGCAGGGGCACGTGACCCTAATCATCAGGAGGAGATAGGGCTGCTGTTACACAGTGGGGGCAGGGAGGAACACGTTTGGCCCCCAGGTGATCTGCTTGGGCATCTGTCGGTACTCCTTGCTTAACACTGATGGCAAATGGACGAGTACAGCAGCCACAGCCTGAGGGGATGGGGAGCAAGAGCTCAGGGATCCCTCAAGGATGAGGGAATGGATCACTCACCAGATAAGCCACTGAGACCAAGGAGGGGTGCTAGCCGAGGGTGAGGGGAATCTAGAATGTGAGGTAGAGGAAGGAAACAATGCATCATTTACTTATGCCACATTTATCAACTATGGCAGTGGAGGCTGTAGTTTGTCCAACTAACTGTGCTCTTTCAAGTGTCCCCCAGAAAACAAGATCAATTAGAATCCTGGAAACGCTGTTCCCAGATGGGTGAACTTACTTCTAAAAAGCAAGTGAATCTGAGCAGTCCAGGGGGTAGGCTGTGCGCTCCACCCAGATCTTCACACTCCTCCTTCTTGTCACATCTGTCCCCCAGCTTCTGGGAATACCTGCTGCTGAAGGCTCACAGTGCTGTCCGTCCCTGGGAACTGCCCTCTGCAGCAGGGACTCACCTTCCGCAAGATTATGCCTCCTCCCAGAGGGCAGCCTGCAGCCAATGACTGACTGATGCAGGACTACAAAAGCCTGGCCACCCCATCTCAACTGGGACAACTCTGAAGTGTCATCCCAGCTCCAGAGCTCCCCAGATGATCAGCTGGGACAACTGTTGTGAAGCATCAGAGCTCAGCCTTTCCTTCTGCCAAATCCTGCTTCCCCCACTCCTCCCCTGCAACAGGTGTTATTCCCAAGAGCTCTCTCCGATCAATCTGCACACAAATATCAGAGTCTCAGGGTCTGCTTCCAGGAAAGTCTAAGAAAAGAAGCCACAAGAAGAAATATATAACCCACCATATACATATTTACATAATAACCCATCCTATATATGTAATATATATTATATAAGACATATAATGTACAGAAAATTTAATATAGGATGTCTTATATAACATATTGCATATTATATATTATGTGTTACATTACCTAGAATGTGTATAAATATGCATATATTAGAATGAAAGTTTCAGTAAATAATTACCTTTAGTATTTGCAATGGAGTCTGATATTTCCTATTCTATTCCATTTCATGAAGAAAAACATACACATATATATGTATTATATACTATAAACTCATTATATAACAAATGTATTAGAGAATATACATAATATATATGGTATACATTATTGATTACATTTCTTATTGGAGTAACAGTTTCAGTTTCACTAAATATTAATTGTGCTTACTATGTGCAATATACTCTTACTATTTTCATGTATCAATATTATTATTTATCATAGTTCTACTTTCATTTCATGAAGAAAATGAAATGCTGGTCACAAGCCAAGAGGTGATCCACAGCCGAAAAAACACTGGACTAAATTATCTGTAAAAAGAGGTGACAAGTCTCAACTGAGTCTGCAACTTTAAACCACACAGGACTCAAGACCCAGGAAGGAATGAGAGTGGTGAGGTTTGGTGGGAAAGGCATCAGACTGTACTTAGGTGTACAATCCATTACAGAGTTTGCACAACTCCTTTATTCCAGGCTGAAATCCCTAAGCTTGCGTGGTTCTGAATGTCTGCAAGTTGGTGATGCAGAGGTCTCTGTTCCTCACACTGAACCTGGCGTACACAGGCTCTCTCCCTTTGCCCATCCCACCCCACCTATAGCAGACACTAAATAAATGGTTGCTAGGTTGACTGGAAGAAAAGACTGGAGTGGCTGCTGGGATAAAGGAGGGCTTTTGGGATACAGAAGTGGAAGGGAAGAATTGTTCACAGAATTCAGCAGATGCTCAATAAATGCTCGCTAGACAAGTTAGAAAAAAAAGTGGAAAACACTGGAGTTGTTTGATGGAACGAAGGAAAAGGCAGCAAAGGACCTGCCTGGAGGGTCGAAGTGAAGAAGGGAAGTCAAAAGGAGGGTGGTTACCAATATACAGCAGGGGCTTCATTAAGGTTTGTTGACTTCAATAGAGCAAATTTAGCCAGGAAGATGGCATCTGTGTGAGTGGGTGTTAGTGAAGGAATTACAACACGTGTTCAATAAATGCTTTATGGATTGAGGGAGAAGAGAGTGGAGGAGTCTGCTGCAGGGAGAGGAATGTCGTTGTTTGAACGGGACACAGTAAAAGAGTGATAAATGCTTTTTGGATTAATTGGGGGAAAAGGGCAGTTGGGAAGATGGCTACTATGTGGGGGAGGGAACCTAGCCAGAAAATAGTAGGTACACATCATGAGCTTTCGGTTGTGTCGTGTGAAAGGCAGGATGGAGATTGTCGAAGGGGGAGTTAGGGCTACAGGAGGGGGAGAAGAGGCACTGAATGTGGGGTTCTCAGTAGTATACAGTAAGTGTTCATTAAAAGATTGTTGGGGCTGAGTGGAGGAGAAAGTATGGAGAATACAGCTGGTGGTTGGGATTAGAAGGAAAGGGAACCGAGGAGGGTTCATCCTAGTATATAGTAGTGCTTAGTAAATGCCTCCCATACTCTTACACATGGAAAGTATGCAATAAATATCTGTAGAATGAATAAATAGAGAGAGCTCTGAATAGAGCCAAAGGCTTCTGGGTAAGGGCTCCTGGGGAGAGGGGTGACTAACCAGTAAAGAGGTGGTACTCAATAAATTCAGGCTGAAAGAGACCCCTGGAGAGAGAGCTCTTGAGACAAGGGAAGGAACTTCCAAGCTTGGCAAGAGGAAGTTGTGAATGGCTCTTATATAGTAGGTGCTCAGTAAGTGTTTACTGGCTTAAATAGAAAAAAAGGCCCTTTGGGGTATAGACTTAAGATTGGGAGAGGGAATCCTAGCGATACTGAAGGGAGTGGGAAAAGGGTAACCCTTCTAAATTTGGTTCTAGATTTATTGAAGGAAAGGACCCTGGGGAGATGCTTTATGATTGGCACAGGTTATCCTAGGAGTAAAGAAGGGGAATCTACTTCCTACGCACGACAGGTACTGCATACGTGCTCACTGGACCCACTGGAAGAAAGGCACTTTGGGGAGGAGGTGTGACTATAGAACACACAGAAGGCACTCCATCAATGCTCACAGGAGCTATTAGAAGAAAAGGCCTTTGGGGGAAGGTGATTTAGAATCGAGCACCTGGCAGACAATGACTAAATGCTCACTGGATCCATTAAAAGAAAAGGTCTTTGGGGAAGGGGGGTGGCTAGAGATGGGCATATCATCATTGGATCCATTGGAGGAAAAGTCTTTGGGGGAAGGGGAATGGGGATACAGTAACTTGATTTATGTAAGCTTGATTCTCCATTCTTGGGAGGAAAGGCTTTTATGGAGAAGGCACAGAATCAGGCACACAGTGGGTGTGCCACAGATGCTCCAGGAGTGATTTTTTAAAAAGGTCTTTGGAAAGAAAGATTGAAACGGTGCACGCAGTAAGTGCAGATATATGATCACTATTAATTGGAGGCAAAGACCTTTATGGAGAAGGTCTAAGGTTGGGTCATGCAGATGGTGCTCAATATATACAGACTGAAGCCACTGGAGGAAAAGGCATTGGGAAAAGGGTCTGGGGTGAGGTAAACAGCAGGCACTCAATAATTGCTTGCTGAATACAATGAAGGAAAGAGCCTTTAGAGAAGGCTCACACCTTTAGATCAGGCAGTTGATAAATGCTAAGTGGGTCCACCAAAGGAAAGGTCTTTGAAGAAGTAGCTTGAGAACAGGGGATAAGGGAGGCACTCAAATGAATGCTTTCTAGATCCGTTGTAGGAAAAGGATTTGGAGCAGAGAGTCTGAAGATTAGCCCCACACAGAAGGTTCAAAAATGCTCACAGAACTCATTTGAGGAAAATATGTTTGAGGAAGGGGCTTGGGGTGGGGCATACACCAGGCACTTAATACATGCTTCCTAGATCCTTTGGAGAAATAGGCTCTTAGAGAGGGGGACTGAGTTGGGGCACACAGAAGGCATTCAATAAAGGCTCACAGGATCCATTAAAGGCAACGCTTTGGGCGAGAATCTGGGATGGGATACACAGCAGGCACTCAATCAGTGTTTAGTGAATAGTTTAAAAGGTTTTTGAGGTGAGGGCTGGGTTGCGGGCACATAGCGCACTCTGGATACATGCTCACAAGATCAGAGAAGGCCTTAGGGCAAGGACCGAGGGGGACAAGACACATATCAAGCTCTCAACGAATGTTCACAAAATTCACGTAAGCCAAAGGCCTTGAGGAAGGGCTCCCACTGAGGCACACTCCAGGTACTTGATAAATGCTCACAAGATCCATTAGAGGACAAGACCTTTGGGCACGGGTTCGGGGTGCAGGGCACATCGGGCTCTTGATTGCTCACAGGATATACTGAAGTCAAGGCTTTTGGGAAGGAGGCACACAGCAGGCGCCCGATAACTGCTCCCTGTATAGATCTAGAAGGTCTGGGTGGGGGGAGGGGGGAGGCAAGGGCGGGGCACACATGAAGCGCTTCGCATAATAATTTAAAGGAAAAGGGTTTGGGCGAGGGGGCCAGGCACGGGGCACACAAGCGGCGCTCGATAATTGCTCATGATGGAATGATCTGGGGACCCAGAACCGCGGGGGGACGTCCACAGCAGTGGCTTACCAGTCGGTGTGGGGCTCGTCGATTACCAGCAGCACCCTGGCGGCAGCGCCCCCACGGCCTGCGCCCCCAGAGCCGCCGCCCACTTGCTCGCTGAAGGTGGCGGCCGCGGCCGCCGTGGTCTGCTTGACCGCATTGGACAGTGACGAGAAGAAGCCACCGCCCCCAGAGGACCCGGGGCTAGGGGCAGCCGGAGAGGCCACGGGGGCTGCCGATGAGGCCCTCTCAGCAGTGGCGGTCGCAGGACCGGGCGTGGCTCCCGGGCTGGGGGCAGCGGGCGGCGGCGGGGGCGGCTGCGGGCGCTGCAGGTCTGTCATGTACCCATTTGGCAGATTGGCCATGAAGTTGCTGTCCGACAGGCGGCGCCGCAGGTAGTTCATGGCTGCGACGCGGGGCAGGGGGTCTTAGGAGCAGTCTGGTCAGGACCGCGGGGGCGGACCGCGCGGGGCCCAGGAGCACAGCTGTGCTCTCAGGCACGACGCGACTCTTCCGCTGCCCGCTGCAGACTGAGGCAGAGCTGAGTCGCCGCCGCCGCCGCAGCGCGGATGGTCGCGCCCGTGACCCCCTCTTTCGCGCCCCGCGTGGTGCAGTCCGGCTGGGCCGGTGGCGGCGCGGACGCGACCAAGGCGACTGGGAAGGGGAGTTTGCGGAGGAGCGGCGAGTGACGTCAGCGCGCCTTCAGGGCTGGGGTGGCGGTGGCGCGCGCCGGCAGGCGGGGGCGAAGGCACTGTCCGTGGTGCTGAAGGCGTCATTGCGCAAGCGCCACGCCGCATCCTGTCTCCCCTCCCCCGCCTCTGATTGGGGATGCGCAATTTGGGGAGTGGGGGCGGGGTGGGTGTTTGTCCGGAGGGTCCGGGTGGGTGCGTCAGGCATGCCCCCACCCCGCCTCATCCTGGTCTTCACACGCACTCGCACTCACACACAGGACCCTCCGCAGATACTCGGTTTCCAGTGTTGATATTCACCACAGGAGGCATTTGGCGGGGTGGGAAGACCCGGAGACTCAGAAGTAGAGAAATAACCCCCTCACGGCGAGGGTTGGGGGTCACATGCAGTACTCCGCGAGATCAGTTTCCCACGTCCACATAGGCTCAGCTAGGCAGAGAGATGCATGCGGGGGTGGTGTAGACAGCATCAGACAGGGGGACGTGGACACTTGTGGGGAGTACATACGCTTGCGCTGGGCGAGGGGCTGGAGGCATACAGGGAATGCCACATATGTGGAGAAACATAGACACACACAAAAGTAAGGAAACATACGGAGGCATGTGCAGAGAGAGAACACACCGATCTAGGTATCTATACAGACACACAAGCCCAGGGTAACAGTCATGGACATGCATGCATACATGCATGCAAATATGCCTAAACACGCACACAGGCACCACTCGGACACACGGAGACCCAGGGAAACTCACATGAGCATGCACACCGAGACAAAACACACCCACAGACAATCATGGCCAAACCTAGATCTCCACACAGGCACATTTCCTGAAGCTCTAGCCTTGATGTGTGTTCACCTCCCCACCTCACCCCCCTACACACACACTTGGCCTATAGGTCCCCATCCGTTTGCCCTGGACACAGTCAAAAACCACGATAATAACCATCTGGCATTGTCAGTGCCCAAGGCCATCTTCCTCTGCACCAGAGAACTTTCCACAGACAGAGGCAGACCCATCCTAGGGTATGCAAACTGTAGGTGCCAAATAGTGTTTGCCACGTGAGCAAATGATCCTTGTAGGTTGGGCAGAGGTGGGCTGTGGAAGCTCCTGTAAGATCCTGACTACAATGAAAACACAAATCCATTTAAAAATAATCATTTGTTGACCGATTGTACCCAACCCTCACTACAATACTATGCGGCGGGTAATATGATTTCCATTTTACAGATGGAATCCACAAACTCCAATTCATTCCCAAAGGGTCATGCTCACTTTGTGATCCATACATTTGTTATTTTCTTTTAAGAATGTGCCAGAAAGAGGTGTCAGTGTGGCTGGAACAAAGTGAGTGAGGGAGATTGTGGCAGGAGATGGGGTCAGAGAGGTTAGCAGGGACCAGATGGAGCAGGGCCTTGTGGGCCCTGGTGAGCGATAATGGTGGACCAAGTGAGGCGGAAGAAGATATGGCAAGAAGTAGGCAGATTTAGAGTCCCTTGTGCCATCAGGATTTTCAAGTGAATCATCCACTTATTCATTTATACATTCTTCATTCATTAAAGCTTTGGCCTGTTTAAACAAGGTCATGGTGTGAGGTCTGGAGTCGGAGAGCCTGGGTTCAAACTGGGCCTCCACTATACTCTTAAGAAAGTAACTTACCGGCCTCTGAAACTTGGCTTCCTCATCTGTAAAAATGATCACCCGACCCAACTCTAAGAGGGTGGGGGTGGGGGAGTGCTGTGACCTCTGCCAGGAATGCCCTTTCCTTCTCTCTCTCAAGGATCATCTTTTGCCTAGGTCTCCAGGAAGTCCCCTCTTCCCTTAGGCTCTCACAGTCCACTGTCTCTGTTCCCTCCTCCATCGCAGCCAGCTTCAGTCCACCTGCAGGCCTCTGCTTTGGCCATTCCTTCCCCCTCTCATGGATACCCTCTCTGGCATCCCATATCCCAGTGTTCCCCAAATGGGGAGCTCTCCAGAAACTGGGTATCTCCCAACATTTTGAAGTATGTGCTCCCCAGTTTTTGCTCAGTAACACAAGCAAACAAGCTCTGCTGGGCCTGTGGTGCCCTCTCTGGGGGATGGGAGCAGCTGCAGGTCTACAGATCTTTCTGGCTCCTCTGGGAGTGAGAAGTTGGGCTCCTTAGGAATCTGTCTCCAGTCTGCCTCTTCCCAGTAGCCCCATTGCCAGGTTCCTAGTACTCATGTCCCCCAGTGTCATTCCCTTTCTCCAGGTGGCTCATTTTCCAGAAATTAATTTTTTTGTAGACTGTTTCGCAAAAGAACGAAGATTCCCCCGACCCCCACCCAAGGAGTGTCTCAACTCCCTGAGGCAGAGGTAAGGCTCCTCTGTACTGGCTTCATCTTCTCCAACAGGAAGGCACATACAGAAGGGGCTCCAAGAATGTGTTTCTTTGTTGTGCATTGGTGAGCAATGACTCTGAAACACACACACTTGACATATGTTCGTAATCAGTATTGTACCCATGTTTATAACTCACACATACATATTCATGCCACTTTAATGAGCATGCACACACACCCACACTCCTATAACTTACACATTGTTATGTGCACACGGTTGTAACTTCACACGCACTCCACATACACTTAATTCCTGCACAGACCCATAGGTCTGCATATCACACATTCACAGAGATATGTGCCTCATAAAGCACACATAGAGCCAAATTTCCACTTTCTTATAAACACATATTTTTCTCATACCCTGGCAGTAGCACCGGAACCCCTCACTTAGGCTCATTCCTTCCAAGATAACCGAATATCCATCGATTTCATCTTCACCCCAATCCATCAGTTGACCCATTTTACACGAGGGAAAATCGACCCAGAGAAGTGAGCGCCCTGACAGACTCCAGGTGTCACAGATTTCCCATCTGAAGCCCCCCACACAGAGGTGCCCCTCCACTCATAGGAAAAAGTCCTAAACTCTGCTCCTGACATGGTGTTTCAAAAACGTCCAGCCCACTACCTATCTGTGCCTGTTTCCTCCTTGGTAAAATGAGGATAATAATATTGACCTCATATGTTCATTGTGGATTAAATGAATTCATGCTATGGAAAGTCTTAAAACACTACCAGGCACGCAGCCTGGGTTTGTTCCCTTCACTGTGGAGACACATACGGCTCTGACTCTTCTTCCCCATCCCCCATGATGTCCAGCGCTATTGTTAGTATACAGTAGGCGTTGGTAAGTGTTGAATAAAATGTTCGAATGAAAGGATCACCCATTCTAGTCTGTTCCCTTGCTTAGATGTCCTCCCCTTCTACCAGCCCTCCTCCACCCGATGCCCAGACTTAGCTCTAGTATACAGTAGATGCTAATAAGTGTTGAATGAATGAACAAATGCTAAAGGAATGTGTCTGAGTGTCTTGGGGGGCTCCTCCTGGCAGATGCTGACTCTAGCTTCTCCTTGCCCCTGTCCCAGCTCAAAGCACCTCGTAGGCACTTCCTCGGTCCGCCCCCCGCCTCGCGGGAGCTATTTGTCGCCGCTAATTGCAGCGTTGGAGCTGGGCTGTTGGGAGTGGGTGGGTGCAAGTGTTCCGCTCAGTTGGGCGCCAACCCCTGCCAGGCCTCATTGCCAAATGACGCGGAATCCGCCAGCGGAGGGAGCTTTAGGAGCGGGGAGATGGAAAACAAGCACTCCGACCAATCAGAAAGTGCCTGCCAGGGAGGGTAGCCAATCAGGAAGCCCGTAATTCGTAAATCGGGACTCTGCAGAGGGACGTGCTGGGTGAACCGGGGCACTGCGGGTAAGAGGGGCAGATATCAGGGCTACAGCAGGAACGGACACTCGCCTTCACTCCTGTCACACCGTGGAAAATACTGTTTTCCACCACAGGCCACTGCGACTTTGCCTGTGCTGCGCTCTTTGGCCTAGAAGATGCCATGGCCCCACTCCTGGGGAAGAGGCTGGTTTATTGAAGTCTGAGAGGTCAGGGGGTCAGAGTGGAAGAGAGAGATGTTAGAGCTTCTCATCCTCAGGGTTCTTTGCAGGGAGGCACGTGTAGACATGGCCGTTTCTCCTCCACCACCACCTTCTGCCCTTGCAGCACATCACACAATGCCGACGGTTTCCCCCAGAAGGTCACATTCTTCTCACCCTGACCTTCGACCGTGGTAACGGTGGGCCTGGTGCGTTAGGGGCGGGGGATGAAGGCGAGAAGCTCAGGGAAGGCAAGAATGCATTCAACAAACTCTTATTGAGTGCCTACTGTGTGCCCAACACTATTTATTTTTAAGCTGTGAGATATTGGGCAATTTCTTTATCTCCCCTGTACCCCAGTTTTCTTCATCTGAAAAATGGGAATACTTGTAATACCCACCTCACTGGGCTGAGTAAGTATAAATGAGTTGATTCAGGTAAAGTGCTCAGAGTCATGTCGGGTACACAATAAGTGCTCAATAAATGCTGGTAATTATTTGTTGATATGAGCTACCTTCTCTCACCTCTAAAACCTTTTACTTATTTCCCCATTGCCCACTGGAAAAATCCCAAATGCCTTGCCCTGGCATTCAAGCCTTGCTGTTAGGCACAAATCCCTGCCCCCAAGTCAATCTCTAGTTCTCTCTTCCACTTTATTCAAAGCCGCATGTCCAAAATGGTCTTTGCCTGGGTTATCTGTCCCACTAGGCAAGCTCTCCACTCACTCCCATTCCGATTCTCTCCATCAGTCCTTTCTCCATTCATTCCCTCCCTCTGTCAAGCCCTTCATGCCTCCATTCAACACCCCTAACTCATCTTCTGGACCCACTCTACACCCCACACCCAGAGACCAGATGGCAGGCTTTCCACGAGTTGGGAAGAGGCCACTTAATCTAGTAGTTTGATGCATGTGGAAATAGGGAAGGGATAAGTCAGTGTTTTAACCCTCTCCAACACCTGGGCCACCCTGGCCACCTGGAAACACTTCGGGCGGCTGATCACCTGTGTCCAGGACTCTGCTCACACAGTTTTGATGGTGGGAAAGCCTTCCCCAACCCCCTCCTGCCAGGGGAGGCCCAGTCAGCTTCCTGGACCCAGACTGAGGTGGCAGTCCCTTTTCCACACACCAACCATTTCTCAGATGCCTTCTGTCAGGGCCCAGCAGACCTGGATCCCGTGGGGGAATCCATGGGATCTGGGTTCTGTGTGTCTGCAACTGTTGTTACCCAAAAGGCCTTAGAGTGCTTTGGGGCACGGGTGACTGAGGGAATGAGAAAGTGAATGGAGGCGTGAGTGACTGAACGAGCAAGTCAAAGCTTGGGTAATTGAGGGGGCAGAGCACATGGACACAGGAAGGACGGAGTGAATGGGAGAATGGCTGAGTGACTGAATGAGTCACTGAAGGGCACGGAGGCTACTGATTCTCCCCTCAACATCCTCTTTCTCAGCTTCTTCTTTAGTTTCTCCCCTCTTCCTACAGCTGGGAGATGGCACTCGGCCAGACAAGGCACCTATGGACCCAGTGGTGGAAGCCCTGGTTGGGGGTGGCCAACTCTCCCACCCTGACTGCTGACATATCAATATCAAGACCCCTTCCAAGGCACACTGCCCCCTCACTCACGAGAATTCGGGGAGCGTGGCCTTGCAGAGGCGCTGGCGGGTGCGGTTGGGGTTGGGTCCACACGGAGGCATGCACAGCCCCCAGGTACTCCACTCCGACCAGGAGCCTTTCCCTGCCAGGAGGGGAGGGGTTCCCGAGTCAGAATTAGAGGTCTTGGTGGGGTGATGAGAGAGAGGCTGCAGGGACATGCGGTCTGTGGCAGAGAGTCAGAAAGCCCCTGTCCCTGCACGGGCTGCCGCACGCTCACAGCATGGTCTCTGGGGGCACTCACAGGGGCAGCGCTGGATGTTGTAGCAGTGCCGGATATCCTGTTGTTCCCCGCTACATCGCTGTCCATTAAACTTGCGGCCCTTGCAGAGCCTGGAGCGGGTCTGCTGGCCTGGGATCTCCTGGCAGCTGATGTGTTTTATGCTCCGGCGGATGCAGGTGCTCCACTCCCCCCAGAGCTCCCACTCTCCGTTCACTGCAGAGACGGGGGCAGCTGGGCTTGCACCAAAGAAAGGAGCCAGCAAGGGTGTTCAGAGGAAGGAATGGGGGCTGGGAGACGGGGTGGGAATGATCAGATGTGGGAAAGGGGGATCAGAATTGGAACCAAGGCATCGGAGCCAGGAATGGAGGAATTAGAGACAGGAACAAGGTATTAACAGCGGGAACTGGGCAGCAGAGACGGGTGGGGGGCTTAGGCACAGAAATGGTGCATCTTGGGGTACTGACCAGGGCAGTGCACGGCCGTGTTGCAGATGTGGGTCCGGGTGGCATCACCGACACAGAAGGGGCCCCCGTGCTGGGGCACAGGGTGATCACATGTCCGTCGTTCCCGGGTCTGACCCAGGCCGCAGGTCACAGGGCAGGGGCTCACAGCACTCCATGGCCCCCAGCCACCAGCCACTGTTGGGGGAGACAGGAGTGAGGAGAAAGGCCTAGATCAAGAGCAGAGTGTCAGAGGCCTCATCCCCGAGTACCTGGGCAGGGTGGCAGGCCGGTGCAGGCCCGCTGCTCAGAGGATGACCCTGGGCAGGGATTCCCAGGAGGCTGCGTGGAGGGCTCAGGTGCAGAGCATGTGCGGCTTCGTCTCTCCTCAGATGCCTTGGGTCCATTGTGGCAGGTGCCTGAGCAGGGGCCCCAGGGGCCCCAAGCAGCCCAGGCCCCGTGTGCTGTGATGGGGTGGGGGGGGGGAGATGCCAAGTGTGGTCATGCATGCTGAAGTCCTCCCACCCTGGAAGTTCTCTGCTGTAACCCCCAGACCCACCCTGGGTGCCCACATCATTGCTCTGTGGTTGCCCTCACTCACTGGGGCAGACCTGTTCAGTGTCACAGGCCTTTGACTCCTGTGCCTCTCCTGGGCAGTGGCCCCCACACTTGGGGGTGGGGCGATCACATGCTCGACGACGAATCCGGGTCCCTTTAGAGCAGGTGACAGAGCAAGATGCCCAGGGCCCCCAGTCGGACCAACCGCCCATCTCTGTAGGAGAGAAAAGAGGGGGACAAGATGGAGGTGGTGGTGTCATTCAGGGGTCCAGGCTTCCTCATGTATCCCACATCAGCTAATCCTGTGCCCATTGTTTCTGCCACACCTGGCCCACCATCATTGCTCATCTGGACTATTGCAGTAGCCTTCACAGTGGTCCCTTTGCTTCACTACTCACCACATACAGTCTGTCGTCCTGACAGTGAGAGGGATCTGTCACAACTCAAGTCAGATCATGTTTTTCCACCATCACTACATCACTCAGAGTAAAAGCCAACATCCTCACTGTGGCCCACAGGGATAAGTCCCCCTCTGACCTCACCTGCCACCACTCTCCTTCAGCCACGCCAGCCTCCTCCTCGACCTCACAAACATGAAGCACACTCCCACCCTCAGGGCTTCTGCCCTGATAGTTCCCAGTGCCGGGTAACTGACAGTGCTCGCCCGCCTTGCTGCTCCTTCTCACCAGGACAGCACGGCTTGTCCTCACACGCCTGCAGCTGCCACTGGAGGGTCCCAGGCTCCACCTTCTGGGGGCATTGCCCGTCCCAGCCTATGCAGCGCCGGTGCCGCAGCTGGGAGCCCTCCGTGCAGGTCACTGAGCAGGGGGCCCACTCGGACCACGGTGACCATTGTGGGAGCCTGCAGAGAGAAGCACATGTCCCATCCTGGCACGCTCTGACAAGGATGGTGTATGGGACCACAGAGGGTGGGTAGGCACAGACAGGGGTGCGGGATAAACGTACGTGGAATGGAGTGATGAGAGTATCTACCTCTTCGTGATGTTGGGGAGGAGGTGGGCACACAGCAAATACTTAAATATCATTTACCTTCATGATCAGGAACCTGGAGTTACCCTTTGAAGTCCCCCAAGGACAGTGCCAGGCACGCAGTAAACAAGTACAAGGACTAAGGGCCCAGAACTGCTGTCAGAAGCCTACCAGGCCACAGCCATGCACGGTAGCAGGCAAACAGGAAGTGCATAATAAATAGGAGCCATCATCCCAATGAGCTCAGAGACCCCATCAGAAATACCCCAGGTCCAAGCCCCTGCACGGCATAATGCTAGACAGATGGGACCTGTTGACAACCAGGAGCCCAGAGCTGCCTTCAAAAATCCCCAAGCTCCCCATCCCCATGGTGTACCTGGGATATATACAGTAAAGAGTTAGAAAATATGTCTGACATACAGAGAGGGCTCAGTACACGTAAGCTGGCATCACGATTAGGAGACTAGAGTTACCCTCAGAAATCCTCTGGCTACCCCCAACCTCTGCAATGCATCTGGTATGCTGGAAGTGCTCAATGAATATGAAGTGTCGTTATAATTAGGGAGCTGCAGCTGCCCTCAGAATTGCCCAAACTCTCCCCCTCCAGCAATGTGTCTGTATACAGTAAATGCTCCGTATGAGCTGTCATCACCATCTGGGGACTTGAGCTACCTTCAGAAATACCTGAGCTGCACCCCACCCACAATGCTTCTGGTATGCAGGAAGCGCTCAATACATGTAAGCCATGGCAGTTCTCAACTCGGGATGATTTTTACCTGTCTGGAGACATTTTAGTTGTTGCAAGTTGCTACTGGCATCTAGTGGGAGGTCAGGGATGCTACAAAACATCCTGCAACACACAGGTCAGCCCTCACAACAAAGAATTTTCTGGCCCCAAATGTCAACAGAGCCAAGGCTGAGAGACCCGGAGCCATGGTCACGATCAGGACCTTGGAGCCACGCTTGAGAATCTCCGAGAAGGCCAGAGCCCAAGTTCTGGGTCGCCCTGCAGACAGTCCTTTCTGCCCGCCTCAAACCCCAGACTCCCCCTAACCTGCACGCCATGCAGAGCTTGCTGCCGAGCTCCTGGAAGGCGTAGTCAGCATTGAGACAGCAGTCTTCCGTGCTGACACCTCCCCCAAGGAGGCCCTTGCACTTGCCCGTGGATTCTTCATACTGGGTGAAGCAGAGTACAGGGTCTGAGCCTGTAACGGGTTGGGGGAGCACGGTCAGGAGTGTGGGAGGGCCCAGGCACCCCTGGGGGCCAGCTGGGCCCCCACCCACTCACCTGTGGCTGGCAGGGTGAGCAACAGCAGCGGCAGCAGTAGCAGCAGTAACCGATGGGCCTGCGCTCGGGTGGGCATGTTGGGCACTGTACTCCTGCAGCCCCGCCAGAAAGGAGGTCCGGCTTTATGTGGGCTCATCTGATCCTAGAGTCAGTGGGAAAGAGGAACCAGGGGCAGGAGGAACTAGGAGGGTGAAGGGCAGTGGTGGTGATGGGGGATGGCGGGGAGGGGAGGGTATCGTGCAGGTTTCTTCAGCTCCGACCTCTCCCTTGCTACCTGTCCCTGAGCTTCCTCCTCTCCTCTCCCCTCCCTACTTCCTGCCTCATGCTTGGTCTGTTTTGTTTGTCACTGTGTCCCCAGCACCCCAGGCCCCGCCCAGCAGCCCAGTGGCACTCAATCAATGCTCTTTGGACAAATTCTTACTGAGGGGGAAGTGGAGCCTGGAAGTTGGAAGCAAGATTGAACTCCCTCGCTGTGTGACCTTGAGCAAGTCACTTGAACCTCTGAGCCTCAGTTTCTCCACCTGTGAAATGCACGCCCTCTACCACAATGACAGGGCCAACCTCACGGGGGTGTTGAACAAGGGTGAAGTGAGCGTGGCATGCTTAGCGTGTCCCTCCTCATGGGGTGGAGTGGGCATCGAGGTAACTACTTCATCCTCCATCCTGACTTCACCACCACCCTCCTCTTTCCTAAAAGTGAGGTTCTTTGTGGTCAGCAATGTGGAGGGGAGGTCAGCACAAGGGAAGTGAGAAGGGGAAGTGGCAAGAGTATGGGGTGGAGAATTCAGAAGGACTGAACTGGGTATATCCACTGCCCCAGGGGCCAGCTGGGGACACCCTCAGGGCCCGAGGAAGGGGATGGTTGGCTTGGCCATGTTCCATCAAGTATCTTGGGTAGGTAATACCTGCCACCCTGCCCCACCCCATACACAGGGCATGTTAGGGTATGTTGCGAAGACTGGGAGTTAAGATTTTTAAAAGTCCTTAGCCCAGTGCCTGGCATACAGCAGGTGCTGTTTGTTAAATACACTGATGCAACATCTACTGAGCAACTATTGGGTGCCAGTTGTTCTGGGCGTTGGCTGGAACAGACAACAAGACAGCCCAAAATCCTGGCCCTCAAGGGATTTATGCTCTAAAAGAGGCAGACAATAAATGTCACCTCCCTCACAGAAGCCTTCCTCAGCTTTTTGTAGGGCACCTCTCATTCTCTATGCCAGTGGCTCTCAAACCTATATGTGTATCAGAATCATCTGGAAGGTTTGTTGAATCCAGATTGCCAGGCCCCACCCCAGTTTCTGACTCTGTAGGTCCGGGGTGGGGCTCAAGAATGTGAATTTCTAACAACGTCCCAGGTGACACTGATCCTGCTGGTCGGGGACCACACTTTAAGATCCATCATTCTAGTTCCTGACCCTTTACTTTTCTTTGTGGATCTCATGTAGAAAAATTATTCTTCATAATCCTTCTCTTAATAATTAATTCCAATGCAGCCCATTTTCCATGCTCCACAGAGCCTTTTTTGTTTTTTTTTTAAGTAAGGCCTAATGAGTGAAATTCCAGAGCCTGCTTTAAAAACAGGAATCTTGGGCTTCCCTGGTGGCGCAGTGGTTGAGAGTCCGCCTGCCGATGCAGGGGACACGGGTTCGTGCCCTGGTCTGGGAGGATCCCACGTGCCGCAGAGCGGCTGGGCCCGTGAGCCATGGCCGCTGAGCCTGCGTGTCCAGAGCCTGTGCTCCGCAACGGGAGAGGCCACAACAGTGAGAGGCCTGCGTACCGCAAATAAAATAAAATAAAATAAAAACAGGAATCTTTTTAATCAACAAAAAGGAGTCTAAGAATTAGGAAGGCAATGTCTCATTTCCCCTGCATCCAAGGAGGAACACCATTCTGCAAATTAAAACAAGGTTGAAGGATTTGATTTGGTCAGGCGTTAAAACAGAACTTTCTCAAGAATACTGGTCTTGCTTCATGGGTGATAAGGTGTGTTGACATTCGTATCCGTTACAGATGTACTGTTTCCTGATAACATGAGCCTGTCTTTGAAAGTGTGCTTTGAACAAAGGGGTCTTGTTATGCTTCTAGGACTTCAGACATCAGTGGTTATCCTATGAAAACAAACTCCCCAAGAAACCTGTAATTCTGGTTGGCTGCTTTATCTAATCACCTGTTGCCCTGGTAATAATGTTATAATCGATACTTCCTTTGTTCCTAAACTGTATACCTACTCACTGGATTCCCTTGGGAAGAGGACTGTCACCACTTTCATCTTCTCCTACACGTTTGGGCAATAAAATCACTGCAGAGTTCTTATTTAAACAAAGACTGAGTCGTATCTCATGTAATCATTGCAACACCACCTAATATGATGTATTTGTTTGTCTGTTGTCCTCACTAAAATGCCAGCTCCACAAAGGCAGGGATTTGTGTTTGGTTTTGTTAACTGCTGTGTCTGGAGGTCCTGGATGGGCACCAGCAAACAGTAAGTGCTCAATAAACCTCTGCTGAATGAGTAAATAAATGCAATAAACAGAGCTTTAGAGATTCTGATAAGCGTGAAGATGAATAATCTGGATTGGAGGTAAAAATGCGAGCATCACGGCAGGAAGAAGTAGTGTCTCAAGTGCCGGGACTGGACCAGACCACCTGGAGAGGGCTTGGCTTGTGAGAAGAAGGAAGGGAAGCCCAGGCAAAGCCCCGGCAAACTCCAGCATTTCACGTTTTGGAGAACTGGGAGAAGCCAGCCCAGGGGCCTGAGGAGGAAGAGGACAGATGGAAGAGGGCTTTCCCCTAGGCCTGGCACATTCCATCCATGGGCTCTCACACACGAATTCAGCCTCAGTCATTTTCTCTTTTTCTTTTTTTTACATATTTACACACACACTTCTGAATTTACAGTCTCTCTCTACTATAGTCTCTTACGAACAAGCTTACATACATACTCAAATGCACAGCCTCTCCCAGCCACTCAGGGAGTTGTTTACTGTCATTGGCCCCCAGTCTTACTATGGTCTCCTTCGGCCAAGACCACAGTTACCCTTACGGGTCAGTTTTGCACATCCACACAGAGTCACGCCTTTTTTTTTTTTTTTTTTTTTGCGGTATGCAGGCCTCTCACTGCTGTGGCCTCTCCCGTTGCAGAGCACAGGCTCCAGACGCGCAGGCTCAGCGGCCATGGCTCACGGGCCCAGCCGCTCCGCGGCATGGGGGATCTTCCCGGACTGGGGCACGAACCCATGTCCCCTGCATCGGCAGGCGGACTCTCAACCACTGCGCCACCAGGGAAGCCCCCGGAGTCACGCCTTTTGATAGGATGTTTCCACCGCTCACTCGGGCCGTCATTTTCTCACATACACAAATGGTTAGTGATTTATAGCCACCACTGGTCTCTCTGGAAGTTTCTCGTGCACACACCCACACCCACAATCACTCTTTCTCCCCTCTTCACACTCACACCCATTCTGCACACCCAGAGTCACTATGGTAAGAGTTTCACACACATACACAATCGCACAGCGTCTCAGACACTGTCTTAGTCGCCTCGTCTCACATTTCTTTGCAAGCAGCTTCCAACATGTCCAGTCCTTGCTCTACATCCTTTAATAAAGTCTCTTGCAGTTTTATAGACCCACACAGTTTCTCAGACACTCTCAGTCACTCGTTTTCTCACTCTCAGTCACCTAATCAGTGTCACGGTCACTTGCCCTCACTCAGCCTCTGACATCCTGTTGTCACTAATTCACCAATGTTACTAGGCTCTCGGTAAGTCTCACACACAGAGCCTTTCATGGCCCGTCTTAGTCGTTTACACCATCATCTGCTGCATCCAGCCAGCGTATTGTGTACCCTCAGACACAATTACAGCCTCATCGGTTTCCCACACATACTGATCACATGGTCTCTATGTCTCATTTACTCTGTTCCATTTTCTCTCTTTCACCAGCATGTAGTCTCTGGTTTACAGTCTCTCATGAAACCTTTCACACTCTCACATGCTGCTCAGTCATCAGTTTTCTCTCCAGCGGCACTGACTTCCTTCTTTTTTACTCATCGCCTCTCACTCACAGTGAGGTGGTCTCTAGCTTACTTTCACTCACTCAGTCTCACCATCATTTTCTCTTACAGAGTCCCTGAACCTGTGGGCTAGACTGGAGTAGTAACTGCAAATCAATCTGCCACTAGGCTCAGGTATACACCCACACACGTACACACACACACACAAATTACAGCCTCTCACGCTCTTCCAGTCGCAGCCACATTTTCTCAGTCTCTCACGCAGTCTTTGCTAGTTTAGTCTCACAGGAATGGTTTTCATACACACAATTGCGTATTCTGGTGTCTTTCATCTCAGGCACCCATCTGGCCTCACAGACATTTTCTCTCATACCATCAGCCTCTCACACATGCACTCCCATTACTTTAGTTGATCCAACAGCCTTGCGTGAACAGTTTCATGCACAAGCCATCTCCCAAACGCTGAGTCACCCGCTTACTTACAGTGAAGTTCCTTACCTACGGCACAGTCCCTGACCATCTCTATGGCACTTTCGTGCTCATACCGGCTCTCACACGTTTTGGTTACTCAGTCTGTTTTGCTCGCCATCAGCCTGTTCAACAGTGACTGATGTGCAGTCCCCACTTCCTTCTCATAAACATTATTTCACACACACCACCAGTTTCTCGTATAGTACCTTAATCACTCACATTCAGTCTTACAGTGGTTTTCTGCCACCCAGCCATGATTTCTCACATAGGCACAATGTCAAGTTTGTGGTTACAACTTCCACTCTCTCAACACATGGCTTCACAAACGAACGTGCGCAATCACAGCTTTCCAGAGTTTTCTCTTTTTCACACACCTGGTTGCCAATCTACAGTCTCTACCACTGTTTCGGACACACACCACTATGCTCTCTCGCTCTCACGATCAATCTCACACCCTCACCGCTTTTCACATAGTCACGCCTTTGCACACAGTTACTCCCAACGGCTTTAGGGGAAAAAAAAATGCTAGCAGTCTCCAGCATCACCTTTAAAAATATATATTTACAGGAACAATTCCCCATTCTCTGGGACTCTTAGAAAAAAAGATCCATTTTTGGGGAAGTAAAACAAACAGTGGAGACAGGTGTAGCACCGTCCCCCAAATCACCAACCCCCAGGTCCCCAGGCCCAGGCTGGGCCGGTGCTGACGGGAAGTGAACCC